AAACCTACATGAGCCATAATAAACTCACTGTCTTGGTGACAAACACTATCCATTAAAACCTTTATTAAAAAGAACTCAGTTTTCTGAAACAAAGGTAATTATTAAAGAAGAATGTAGTTTATAGACTGTATTTACCCATACATTTCACTGTTAAGAGACATTTTGTCAATACGCCTGTGTATTTATTTATTTTTTTTAGTATTATACCTAAAAATTAGAACTTAGGAAGATGGCTTTTTTACCTACACAACAGATAGTAGCAGCAACAAAAACAATAATAGTTAATGATTAGTTCTTACTATGTGCCAGTCATTCTACTGTGCATTTGCATGCTTCTCCTAATTAACCAGCATTACAGGGTATAAATATGAACTTTTTCTTTCAGTTTTGGAGCCCTGGCTGCATAGCAAGTTACACATTGGGCTGCTAAGCACAAGGTCTGCAGTTTGCACTCATTAGCCACTCCATGGGAGAACGATGAGGCTGTGTGCTCCCATAAAGGTTCACAGTCTGAGAAACCCAAGGAATCTGTTCTCCGTCCTGTAGAATCATGCATTGGAATAGACTAGATGACAGTAGATTTGGGTTTGCTTGTTTGTTTGGTTTTTTGGTATCTTATCCCCGTTTCACAAGGAAAGATTTAATCTTGGAAAGATTCTAAGTCAACTAATAAGTTGCAGAAACAAAATTTTTGAACAAAACTTTCTGGCTCTAGGAAACTTTTGTGTTTAATGCATTTTGCTAAACTGTGTCTTGCTACAAGGAGCTCTGGTAGTGTAGTGGTTACAAATTGGACTGCAAACCACAAGGTCAGCAGTTCGAAACTACCAGCTGTTCTGCAGAAAAAAGATGAGGCTTTCTGCTCCCGTAAAGGTTTACAGCCTTGGGAACTCTGTACAGGGTCTCTATGAGTTGGAACTGACTCCACAGCACATAACAACAACAACAACAACATGCCTTGCTAAACTTTGCTAAAGGTTGCCTTGCCTCATTTATCAGTGATCAAACCACTTTGAAGGTGCCGGGTAATTATTTGTTAAGAAAGTGTACTAGTGCATTTTTTTACAAGGGTTTTTAGCAGCAAATACCGAAATCAGAGTTTTGGTGATCCTCAGTTAACCAATTAATTTCCACTCCCCATTTACAAAAGATTTTCATTTATTCTTGGTTTTAAAATTCATCTGGGGAGAACAAACAAGATGGCGGTTCGGGTGGACGTGTAGTACAGAGCTCTGCCAACAACAACACAGAATACCCAATCAAGCAGGCTCAGGGGATGGTCCCAGAACTCTGAACCACATATAAAGGAATATTTAGAAGGTTGGAAGGCTCACAGCTGGGGAATTTGTGGCAGAAGCAAGGAATCTATTGCTTTCTAGTCCGGGACGCTC